TATAAAAATATAGCTATAATTCAGTAATATAAGACCATATCTGAAAGTTTAATATTACAATCAATCCATCGACAAAGATGGACTATGGAAATAATTAAAGGAAAAAAATATGTGAAAAAAAACATTGCGTTGTAAATAAGGATCATCTCAACATATAACAACAACTTAACATAGATCTTAAGGCACGATGAACTGTATATCACTGTCTTGCTCCGTCGCAGCCCAAGAGGGTGACGAAAGACGAAATAGACACACGATGGGTTGGGGGGGGCGGGGGAGGGGGTTCACGCTGCTGATGGTGCTTGTCCGAGTTCCTTCACTCTCTCCTTCCTTCTCTCTCTCCCTTTTTTCTCCTCCGGATCTTTCTCCTTTCTTCGCCTTCTCCTTGTCCTTTCGGCTGCTACTTGACTTCGTTCTTGATATTCTTCATCTCTCTCTCTCTCTCTCTCTCTCTCTCTCTCTCTCTCTCTCTCTCTCTCTCTCTCTCTCTCTCTCTCTCTCTCTCTCTCCTGCAGGTTCTTCTTTCGTGCCCTCTCTCTCGTCCACCTCCTTCGTGGTCACTGCTGGAAAAGCTCTGGAAGAAGGGGGCGTCGGGAGGGGTACGGAGAGATGGCAGGGGAGGGGTTTGTGGGGGGGGGGAATCTTCCCCCCACCTTGCGGCTATCCTCTCTAAGGATCACTTTCTCTTGCTATAGTCACGGAGAATGGACCTTATGTAACGGAGCCGCTGAAGTCTCTCTCGTCCCCTCCCCCTCCCCCTTTGCCCTCACCCTTCGTCTTCGTCGCGTTGTGATGCTGCGGTCTTCACTACAGGAGGGGTGAGGGGTCGGCGGGGGGAGGGGAGGGCCGATGATGACGTCACCATCGTGTCTGCTGGGACCTCTGCTGTTCTACAAGAGGGAGAGGCTGCTGGGATCTCTTCTCCCTGGGCCCTTTTGCGTTCGCCAGGCCGCTCTCACGCGCACGCATGCACTTAGGCCACCTCTCTCTCTCTCTTTCTCTCTCTCTCTCTCTCTCTCTCTCTCTCTCTCTCTCTCTCTCTCTCTCTCTCTCTCTCTCTCTCTCTCTCTCTTCGAAGTCCAGTTAGTAACTGAGAAACATGAACTGGCGAGGAAGGAGCTCCGAGACGCAAGTGTACCTCGGCTCTGACGTACAACAGCTGTGACAGGTGCTTGTTGCTACAGCTGGGAGATTTTTTTTCGTCTTACTTTTTTATTACGTATATTCTTTAGTTTTATATTGTTCTTTTTTTGTTCTTGTTCTTCTCTAGCATTTTAAATATATATTTGAAGAACTCGGTTTGACACACTACACTACACAGATGTTTCGTGTTAATATATATATTGGTTGTGGGCTTCTGCGTGCACGGTCTGAGACAAATGGGAACAGCGTAGCACAGTCGAGCTCAGGCGACGTAGGCCTGTCGCTTTATCACATTATTAACAATGAGAATATATAGATTTTTTTTTTAGTTTTTTTTTTCTTTCTTCTTACGATGGGTCACCAGTTCCTCTCTGCTGCTCTTCTTCACAATATATTGCACGTAGGAGTCGACTCGTCGCTTCGTGGCCGCCGTCGCCTCCGCCCGCCGCCCGCCGCCCCCCCTCCGCTCGCGCTCGACATTCCATCACACCCGATGTTGTAGCGCACACACCAGCGGCGGGAGGAGGAGGAGGGCGGGGAGGGGGAGGGAGAAGGGAAGGAGAGGAGGGCGATCCACCTGGGGAGGCCCGGGGTAGAGGGGACCCCTCCACCCTCGCCTCCCCCGCCCCTGTCCCACTCCTGCTCTCGTAGTGGCGTCGCAGGGGGGGAGGAAGAGAACGTACCCTCTCCGTCGAGAGGGTCTCGGGGCAAGTAGCACGTCGAGGACGAGGTTGGAGGAGGGGACGTCCTCCACCTTCCGAGGAGGAGGAAGAGGAGGAGTAGGAGGAGGAGGAGGGTAAGGAGGCCGGCCTCTGGGGCTTCTCCCGCCCGCCAGTAAGCAAACCAGCCTCCCGAGGACGGGGCTCGGGCGGCGGCGCGGCGATGGCGGTCGCGGCGGGCAGGTTCCCACGCCGCCTCGTCCCTCCCTCCCTCCCTCCCTCCCTCCCGTGCCGACATCACAGACTGTAACATGATGGAGGATGGCCGCCGTCACACTCACGGGGCCGCACAGTTCCAGCGAACACACACACACGCACACACATTGTATAATAGAATATTCCAAAGGTATTGCACAGGGCGAGCGAGCTGGACCGTCCCTGCCGCCCTCACTTTACGGCACTCTGCTGCCTCACGGCGCTGTACAACACCACACTCACGCATGGCACAGGTCACCATGCACGAGCATGGTAAAGGGCGCCATGCAGCCGCATGGCACATATCACCACGCACATGCATGGCACGGGTCACTAAGCTAGGTAGATATCACAAGGATTACCGTCTGCTGGAGGCGGAGTGGAGGAGGTACTCCATGACGTCAGGCTTGCCACGCCAGCACGCCAGGTGGAGGGGCGAGAAC